ACTTTTTACTGCAGTAGTAATAGCACAGCTTTTAGCACATTTTGTGCATCCCTTCTAAGGAAAGAGGGGGGGAATCGTTATTAAACTACAGACTTGGTCTACCTTTTTCTAAACATGGATTTTAAGGTTTTTATAAAAGGTGATGTTTCTTAGTGGCATAATTTATCATGTGTTGTCAGTCCTATCTGCTATTGTTGCTTTTACTTTTATTTAAATTAACACTGCGTGATAAAACATTTATTTTATGTTCAGGTATTTATTGAAAGCTCAGAGTCTCTAGATCGTCACATGGCATATACAGATTCTCATTTATGGAAGCTTTTGGATCGTCACGCAAATACAATCAGACTATATGTTTCATTACCAGAGCAATCACCTGGATCTCAGTTTAGACGAGCAGTTTTGGGGAAGTCTAGTGGAGATTTAGGCAACTTGGATGAAACCTGTGAAAGAGTAAAAGGACCTGTAGGTAATATGAAATCTGTAGAGGCAATTCTGGAAGAAAGCACTGAAAAGCTTAAAAGCTTGTCTCTGCAGCAGCAGCAGGAGGGCGATAATGGAGACAGCAGCAAAAGCACAGAAGCCAGTGATTTTGAAAACATTGAATCACCTTTAAATGAAGTAGATTCTTCAGCATCAGCAGAAAACAGAGAACTTGAAAACCAAATTCAGATTTCCGATCCAGAAAATCTCCAGTCCGAGGAGCGGTCGGATTCAGATGTAAATAACGACAGGAGCACAAGTTCAGTGGACAGCGATATCCTCAGCTCCAGTCACAGCAGCGATACTTTATGCAACGTGGACAATGCCCCGCTTCCCTTGGCTAATGGACTTGATTCTCATAGTATCACAAGTAGTAGGCGATCAAAAGCAAATCAGGGGAAGAAAGAAACCTGGGACACAGCAGAAGAAGATTCTGGAACAGATAGTGAATATGATGAAAGTGGCAAGAGCAGAGGAGAAGCACAATATATGTACTTTAAGTCAGAGCCCTACACTGCAGATGAAGGTTTGGGAGAAGGGCAAAAATGTATGTATTCTTTTTTTAAATGCCTTAAAATAATCCAACTTTTGTTACTATTTAAGTCATACGCTGTCTAATGGCAGTATTGAAAAACTTGATTATATGTCAAATTAAAGCTACTGAAAGTGCAAAAATAGAATGTGATGTCACATTCAGCAAAAATGCCAGTTTAATTTTGATCTTTTAATAAGCAATTACATATTTGAACTGTGTGGTTTTTTGTTTGTAAGAAAATGAAAAGCTGCCACTATGATACATCTATTTCCTTGTATTTAAAAGGTTTTCTGGAGAGCGAGCTGGGTTGTCATCCAGTGAGAGGAAAATAGTTGCATCTGCCAACGATGATTCACCTGTTCCAGAATGCACTTACTTACTGTGACTCACAGAGCAATGATTGTGCTAATGTTTAGATTAACAAACCTGAAAACTCAGAGTCATTTGTCTTTAAAGAAAATTCAAATATACTTGATTTTGATAATTTCAGTAGACTGTTGCTTTCATTGACTGAGATATAATAGGTACAATGAAGTGTGTGGCTGACATAAAAATGTCCAAACAAGTTCAGTTTAAGACCCTACGTAGTATATTAATTACAATAAAGATAAATTATTTAAACACCCAATACCTGCATATGTTTTATAACTAACAGAAGAATAATTAAAGAAGAGCAGGATATAAGATAAATATTTTGAAAGGCAGAAGTTTTCCTTGAAATTCTGATGAAATAATAAGAGAACTCTGTGGATTTTTTTTGGTAGCTATGAACAAGCATTTTTATTTGTAAAACCACAGGGAATTTTAATTGCAGCTACTAAACTAAAATTAGTCCTTTAGCCTGGAAGGATCTTTCTTTGGGGCTAATCTTGAACTGTTTTAATTTTTCTCTTGGGTTTGTTTGGTTTGGGTTTTTTTGGTAGGTCTAATTGGATGCAGGAATTGCTTGTTTACAGTAATTTTGATGCTTTCATAGTATACTGTATAAATTGTTATCCTCAGGGAAAATCTTTTATGTATTTTTAGTATGTCAACATGAACAGATTTATAATTCAGATAATTTATTTGTTCTGTTAAATGTTCTAAATAGCAATTTTCTTACTCATTTGAGTCATGGCACAATATAATCATACTGTAGTTCATAGTGTGGTTTAGATTGCATGTATTAAGAAACACAATTTCTAAAGAAACTATTTACTTCCCAGAATTTCATATCACTACAGTAGCTTTTCCTTAATTACAGAATTATTTCATGAACAAGTCCCCTAATCTAGAGTTGAACTTGCTTTGTGATATCCTGCGGCCTTCCGGAACACAGAGTTAACCAAACGTTTTAATCCAGGACAAAAAAGCCCCACGTTTGGGTGGTGTGTGCCTGGGCAGCTCCAACTCCGAAGCGTTTCTGTCTTTCCCTCGAGGCAGGGGAGAAATGGAAGGGGTTTATCTGCAAATGGTCCCTCCGATTTTCTCTCTTTGCTGTCTTCCTGGGTGGAGGAGATACTGCTTTGCTCCACTATGTCACTGAATGCAAAACAGGGAGGGCAGTTTGGAACTGCTGCGTCTTTCAGGAGTGTCTGCCCATAAACAGTTAAATTACAGCAAAGCTCTTAACGATTACAGTAACACCCTCAGATTAAATGTAAATGTGGCCTTTAACTGTAATTCTGACTTTTCAGTAGTGTTTTGCTGCAAGTGATCACTGTGAATATATATGGAAATAATGTACCAGAGTGCTTTATTTTTTGGGAGCATGGTGTTTCATGCTATTCTTATCTTTATTTTTGCTTAGTGCTGATGGTGCATGTCGATAAAAGAATTACACTGTCTGCCTTCAAGCAACATTTGGAGCCTTTTGTTGGAGTTCCCTCTTCTCACTTCAAAGTCTTTAGAGTCTATGCCAGCAATCAAGAGTTTGAGAGTGTTCGGCTGAATGAGACACTTTCATCATTTTCTGATGACAATAAGGTTATTAAGTAGTTATTTTGAATCATTAAATTATATTGGTACAATATAGACAAACTTCAGAACATAATTTACAAGTTCTTGTTAACTTGCTAGATGGAATCATTACAATTGGTCATGTTGTGCATTAGAAAATATAATTCCAATTTTGAAATCTGTTCTAACAGATACTCCTTTTGTCTTCTAGATAACTATTAGACTTGGAAGAGCCCTTAAGAAGGGTGAATACAGAGTCAAAGTTTATCAGCTTTTGGTAAATGATCCAGAGGTGAGGCATGGAATATTTTAAGGTTGATTCATAAAAATAGTAGTATGTACTTTGGTAAGGGTTTGTCTCTGAAATCTTGGCAGTGGGGGGAAAGTCCTACTATTTTTTCTTTGCTTTTTCCTGTGAGTTTTCCTACATCTAGAAAGGGAACTGTTTATGCAGTTCCAAGTATACAGTTGGAATGTAATCTACAGTATCTCTCTTCAGTGTGTCTATTTTCTGCAGTTTAAGTGGAGGACAAATGAAAATAATTATTTGTTTTTATAGAATCATAGAATGGCCTAGGTTGGAAGAGGCTTTAGAGATCCAACCTCCCTGCCATTTTGCTTAAATGTAAGAAATTCGTGTAGAGTTCTTTCTGAATAAATAGTTTTTGGCTATGGTTTCAGTTTTTATTAATATTGTACTGGTATAAGTTGTCGCATTCATGCACTACAGACAGTGCTTCTCGAACAATTGCTGGGTAACAGGCTTCTTGGCATGACACAAGCCTGAAACAAAAATGCTGGTCTTGGAATTAAAGCAGATCACTTGCTTGTTACATCTTTAGGACATAAGAAGTATAAAAGGGATTTCACTGTAGATTACAGTCTTCAAAAGTCGACTTTGTATGCACCTTAATTTCTGATTTTCTTTTTTGGACTGTACTGCAGAATACGTATTAATAACGGATAAGCCTAAAAGACTGAAGCTGAGCTGATAGAGCAGGGCATAAGATCCCAGTCATGGGGTTCCGCTCTGTCTGACCTGTGAAAGCCAAGAAAGTGGTATTTTTGTTATCGTATGGTTTATTTAATTTAAGAGGTCCTTTCAAATTATTTAGAATGTTAACATAATGGTCACACTTAGTACCACAGACAATACAGCTTCTGCAGTGACATGTGTTCTGAGTGTTTGAATGACCTGTCAAAGGGCTGCTACTACACGAATCAGTTCATATTAATCAAGTCGTTGCCTACCTTGACTGTTAGAATGCTTTTCATTTTGCTAGGTGGATGGAACCGGTCACAAAACATGAACAGGAAGCAAGTCTACTTCCCTCTGTTCAGAAAGTTTGTCTTTAATCACACTTTATTTATGTTCACAGCCATGCAAGTTTCTTCTAGATGCAGTTTTTGCTAAAGGCATGACTGTCCGACAGTCAAAAGAGGAGCTACTTCCTCAGCTTCGAGAACAATGTGGCTTAGACCTGACAATTGACAGGTAAAGAGGCTGCAGTCCATTGAATTTACCCAGTTAAATATTACTTTAATATGTGTTTTGATGGTGTGTTTTTTCTCTTGTGGAGAGAGGAAGTTAAGAAAGGAGCAAATAAAAGTTACTGTGGTCTTTGAATCAGACTGTGAATGCAAATGTTTATTCAGCAATTCTTGACTTTCATGTTAAGTGACGTGGGGAATAATACTTATATAGAGTTACTTCTGTGCAACGTGCCGACAAGGTTAAATCTGAGAAATTTTATTCTCTCTAAGGATGATTTTCTTCAGAAAGGAAAGCATTAATTGGTTCATATAAAGCCACCTTCTTTCTACGTGCGGGCCCAGTGTAGATCCCTGCAACAAACTGGTTTCTGCATTATCGTAGGGTACATGTACCACAGTGATCCAGTACTGTCTTCCCTTTACTCATCATGAGTTACCTCATCAAGGCTGAACTCACTTTGGGGCCTTGATTCCAGAAAATCTCTACTGTCTATTACAAGTGATGTATTCACTGGAATTAAGGAAACCTGTAGGATGTGGTAAGCAAGCTGGTGGGATCTTAGCATTTGCCTCAAATCAGGCAAACAAAACATTGGAAGACAGGCGTTGGTCCATTCGTATTGAGAAAGGAAATAGAAACTTTGATCTGCGCTAGGTTTTTCTCTTTTCCTCACCATGACTGTGCCAAAGAATTTTTGTCTGTTGTGTTTGGGTTATCTTCTCTAGTCTCCTAAAATTAGGGGGCACATGATAAAATGTATTCCTACTTTTGTGTGTGGAGAAATCATTATAATTGAACTTTTGTACTTGTGTTCAATTTCACTTCAGTTGTTTATACCTTTCTTTACCTCCATATCTGAACCCAAGTTCATGTTTTTATATTGTGACTGGATTGAGGAAGTAGAACTAGAGTATAAATCAAACAGCAGTCCTCTTCTAATCCTTCGCCTCTCCCTTTCTTCCCTCTTTCCCCTTAAAAAAAAAAAAAAGAAAAAGGAGTAATTGTCAGAACTATTTGGGAGTATTCTCTTATCCTAAATGGGTACACATTTCTTGCACTGCACAAGCACTACACAGGCTTGTTCTCCTGTTGTTTATGAATGATTCAGCACCCAGAGCCAGTAGCGATACCTTGCTGTCAGGACTATGCTTCAGAGTGTAAAACATGTTGCTGGTAATCCCAACCAAACCTTGCACAAACGAGTCGTGTTTCAGTTCTGTCAGAAAATACTGTTTTGATTTGTGGCAGTGGTGTTTATGAGCAGAAAAAAACCTCAGTGTTTTCTTTGTGATCTATTTACAGGTTTCGCTTACGAAAGAAAACCTGGAAGAACCCAGGCACTGTGTTTCTGGATTATCATGTCTATGAAGAAGATATCAATATTTCAAGCAATTGGGAGGTCTTCTTAGAAATACTTGATGGTATGATACAGCACCAAGAGAAAGTAAAGATAATGTTAGAGGGTTTTTTTCTCTGTAGAGAACATTGGAAAATGTTCTTTCCCTTTTTTTAAAGACTACTACTGACATTCTAATAGTATTCTATTAGAAAAAAGTAGAAGCAGAAAGAATTAAAAGTAATGAGGGGATTGCAGGTGCGGATTTTCTGTGGTTGCGATATGCTAAAGGTCTAATAACATGACTATTTTGTAGGTTTATGGAAACTTTTGAACATACTGTAGTTACTGTAGACGGTTGTAGGTTTGTGTGTGTTTTCATTGTTGATAAAAATTGTAGGAATGCCTATATGTTGTGGTTTTATCTGTATTGAAATTTTGGACTAGTATTGGTAATGTTTGTAGTTATCTGAAACGTGTGTATGTATATATATACATAATAAGCACACCTCTGTTGGGTTAGTAGTTCTCGGGCAAGAGTGAAAAAACATATGTTCTGAGTTTTTGGACAGACCTTATTTTTCAAAACAACTTGGAAATGAAACATGGAAGGGTTATTTTGGTAAAGGAACTGAAGCACGTGAATAGGTATTGGCTTGCTTTGGAAGATCTCATGCAAATGCAGAATCTGGAGATCAGCCTCTGGTTCCGTGGTTCAGTCCTGTATGCGTGACCAAGCTGGGTATGATGGAAAAATGCACCCGAAAGAGGAATAAATGGCAGGACTTCTAAGAGATACTGCCTGTGAAAAATTCTGTGAAAGGATTCCTTCAGAGAAAAGCTCAACTAAATCCTAGTCCTGTTCCTATATATGTATGTAGTATAGTCTTCCATCTTTGAGTAGGCTTATGCTATGGAACTCCCCTAATCTTAAATGGGAAGTTTTGTGATGTTAACATAAGAAATTTCTCTTTCTCTCCTAGGAGCAGAAAAGATGAAATCCATGTCACAACTTGCTGTTTTATCAAGACGATGGAGGCCATCAGAGATGAAACTAGACTCTTTCCAGGAAGTAGTACTAGAAAGCAGCAGTGTCGAAGAATTAAAAGAAAAGGTGAAATTTGTGATACAAGTTTCTTTTGGTGTCCAAGATCCTTATTTATGTCCTCTGTTGGGAAGCATGTAGATGTCATAGTCTTGTTGCGTGGTGATTGGCTTTTTTTTACTAGGAACTGAGAACCAGTCCCATCCTTATTACCAAAGTTTTATTATGGATTATCAGCTTTACTTCTTAGATTCCTGTAATGATCTGGCATTGAAATATTCAGGTGAATGCACGCATAAAAAAAAAAAGCTTTAGCAGCATATTATTGCCTGTCCCTTTTCCTTGAAAAACGGATGTGAGAGAAAAGCCAAACCGTTGTCACTGTTTTTTCAAGCCGGTATATAGGTGTTCCAAAACACAAACCTTTCAGCTTCTTACTTGAATTTGGGAGCTGTTGCTCAGGGACAGTGTAACTGTTCCAAGTAGATTGAACGATATTTTGGTTGGAAAGAAGCATGGCGCTGGTATGTGGCTTTTCCTTAATGCCAGAACCCTCTGACAGGTAAGCAGACGTGCCATCCTAGAGTAGAAATGTTCTTGTACTGAGTCTGTTTTATTAATCTCATACAACAAAGGGTTGCACTCTTAGAGAAATGGTTATTTGTGGCAATAGATATAGAAGGCAGCCACCTTGGATGTTGAGGCCAGCATAAATCCTAGGATCAGTGGAACCAAAGTCTTAGCTTGCTAAAAACCTCAGCATTTCTAAGTTAGGGGTTAGTTCATGGGCTGGAGTAAGGAACATTGTTCAGCTGCCAGTGAATGCAACAGCCTTGAATAGTGTATGCACACAGATTAGGTTATGGATTGGTTTCTTGTATTTTTCAGGTAGAAATGAAGCTATGACTACATGTTCTTGTTTGCAGTCTTCTATATTTCCTCTTCACTTCTATCTGCATAAAGTTGTCTGTTTTCTTAAGAACTGATGTGCAGGGAGCAATTTTAGGACAAGCCTACGCTCAAGTTAAGGGCGAGGCAGTGGTGACCTCTGCGCACCCTGAGACTGCTACTGTCCTTGCAGCCCGGTGACGCTGTGGTGGGTGCTGGGTCTGCGCAGCGGGGGCAGGGGATGGACGATGTGCTCCCTGTGTGGTGGATGTGCACAGCTGTGGCAAGGGGAAGAGCAGCCAGTGGTGCTTGCTGGGGAGTTGTGGGGCTGTCGCGGTAGGAAATGCAGGTCCGTAGAGATGGGTTTTAGTTGTGCGTATTTTATTTTATGGCTTTGCCTACTCCCTGGGTGACTGGATAATAGCTTTCATTTCATACAGGAAAACTACTGAGCACTTACTGATGGACCTGAAGGTTTAACATGAGGCAGTTGGTCTCTTTGTATCTCGGAATTTGAATGTTATTAATTATTTGTTTCTGTTAACTTATTTCTGTCACCACTTCACTGTTAAGAGAAGTGTGATGAAATCTTATCACAGCAAGTGTCACTTGTGATGCACTAGTTACTTCAGAAATGTACTTAGTCACAGATTTTGTGCTAGTACTTTGGATCATTGGAGGAATTTTGAATATTGACTTCTAGATTTGCCAGGTCTGTTGACTATGTAGACACTGCATTATGTTATTGTGGAATAATATTAAATCCACCATTTTTCTTCACTTTACAGTTAAGCGAAATAAGTGGGATATCCTTAGAAAACATAGAATTTGCAAAAGTAAGTAAGATTTTATCTATTTTCAGCTTTTATCAGAATGTGTGTGTGATTATCAGCTTTATTCACTAAATAACTGCTGCTTTTCAGGGTAGAGGAACATTTCCGTGTGACATCTCCATACTGGAGATTCACCAGGACTTGGACTGGAATCCAAAAGTGTCTACACTGAATGTCTGGCCTCTGTACATTTGTGATGATGGTGCAGTAATATTTTATAGGTATGTATTTTGTTACGGAACAATACACCATGCAAACAGAAATCTGCAGGTAAGATTTGAGGGTGATGTAATCGACTGAAGCATTGTCTGTTGTCCTGAAGGAAAGAGGATTTAAAACATTAAGCTGAAATACTTGTGCTCCTTAGCTTCCTAAAAAACAAAATATTATGTTCATTGTTTAAGAAAACAAGCACTGCACCCTTTTACTCAGTCCTTGCTCCCAAACCATTGAAAATAATGCTGAATGCAAAGCTAGCTTTTATGCTTAAACATGTATCTGAAATTCTTAAAAGAAAACCTTATCCCTTGTGCCATCTGTGAGAGTCTTGCCCTAGGTTGTAGAGCAAGTCTTTTCTCAGTTTATTTCTTGGAGAAAGTAGTATGGCTTCTTTGGAAAAAGGAGTCTAAGTTGCTCAAGTAGAAAACATTACAGAAATCTAATAATGGTCATTGTATTCTTCTGAATTTTAATATCTATTTTCATTCTAGGGATAAAACTGAAGAATTAATGGAATTAACAGATGAGCAGAGAAACGAACTGATGAAAAAGGAAAGCAGCAGACTCCAGAAAACTGGACACCGAGTAACCTACTCTCCTCGTAAAGAAAAAGCACTAAAAATTTATCTGGATGGAGCACCAAATAAAGATTTGACTCAAGACTGATACTTGCTATAGCATTTTCCCTGGGGAATTTTTTTGTTTAAAATAAAAAGGTTCACTACTACTGTGTAGTGCCATTACGGCAGGACACTCTTTAGGTGTAACGCGCTGACACCAGCACTGATTGGGCTGTGTTACCAATCAGAAGCGCAGTGCCCCGCTGGGTCACTGTTTGACTTGGAATCATGTTGTGCACTATAGTCAAATGTACTGTAAAGTTAAAAGGGATGTGCAAATAAAAGATTAGAACTAAAAAGTGGGCGGGGAGGGAAATGAGTGGAAAATTTTGAGGACAGTGTGCACATAGTAGCTAGTGAAACTAGCCTCAAACAGGATACTCATAGCTTAATAATAAAAGCTGTGCAAAGGCCATGAAAGAATCCTTTTCTCTGTTTGTTTCACTGATACACGCATTACCTCATCAGAGAGTCTGAAGTAAATGTTAACACATTGGTTCTAGAAAAGCAGCAGAGAAGAGTCAAAGATGAATTGGGAGTGCTGCAAGTTTTAGAATATTCTTCCATAAAACAGGTAGTCTGAGAGGTGTCTGCAGAAAGCTGCCAGCAGGTGTTGGTTCATTTTGCAGAAGTGCTGTTGTAAGGTAAACTGGTTTTTAATAGGTTACGGAAGCCGATGAGCGGCTCTGTTACATTGCGTTCAATGTGTAAATAAAATTTGCCCTATCCATTTAACAGAACTGCAGCTCAGCTATTTACCATGGTATTTCTTTTCACATATCAGCATTCATTGTGTACATTTGGAAGTATAGTTGCCTATTTAAATTTGTATTCATTTTATGTTTGATGCTGGGTACTTTAGGGTTGTATTTCCCCTTGTTAATGAAGTTTTTGTTTTGTTCAGCTACTTTTTGTACATTTTGTTTTTGAAACTATTAGAAGGTTGCATCTTCTCCACCTACTTGGAAAGTCATTTTCTTTTTTCCAGAGTTGATTCTGTAGCTACATGTAGTCAAATGTTGGGGCAACCTCTAACACCTCGACGTACAAACTTGGTAGTTCAGGTTGTGGTGCAAAGACTGATGCAGTCAACATGATTTCATTGCAAAGCCTAGGAACAGCCATTTTTTGCTTTAGTCCATAAAGATCAATAGAGAACAATTCTCCATAGTTTTTGGAAAACCACCTAATTTATAACAATCAAAAGATTTTGGTAAACTTTTTCATGCCAGATGCTGTTTACAACAATGAACATGCCAATAAAACATTTGTTCATTCTGTTGTGTTATTTTAATCATTAAATGCTGTGGGTTTTATATGGAATTACTTCATGGAAGAACAGACTTTGCCAGGACTCTGTCAGAAGTGTAAGGCTGTGTGTATCCGTGTGTGTTTCTGCACACATCCCCCTCGCCCCTGTGTGTGCACAGGATTGCAGGAAGTGTTTCAGCTGGAGGTTTCATTTTCCAGGATCGAATTCCTCACCAGGGAGACTTGCAAGATCCAGATATGATTGGCAGCTAGGTTATGCTCCAATGCATATTCTTAAGTATTTGTGGACAATTATTGCTCTTACTAAGTACTCTTTTTAATAGGAAAATGGCAGTGATACTTAAATTTCTCTCTTTGTATAGATGGGCTGTCTCTAAAGCACAGGAATTTTATTAGGAAGTGGAAGATAAATTCAGTGAACTCTCAGAGCGTGTGTATATGTGCATGTGTTGGTGTGAAAATTGGTGGTAGAAATGAATCCTTAAATTAAAAGTGAGACCATTGTGATAAGATATCCTTCCTGTGCATATTGATAATGGTTATGAACATTAATTCTGGTACCCAAAGAATTTGTCGAAAAGCTTTCATAGACCAGAAGTGGTAAAAGACTTGCAGGCTGGGAGCTTGCATCTGCTTTTGTTAAGTTACTTGTGGTCTGGTGTTCCAAATTAAACATAAGCTGTAGGGATTGTTTGGGAAGTAGCTCCATGAAAAGTTACTTGGTTGGAGCCTCATATCATCTTTTACCATATGCAATAACAGATGGTGAAATCTATACCCCTAAAAAACGTTAATAGTGCAAGAGCCTTTGTAGCAAACTGTTTGTTGAGACAGCTGGGAGCCGGGACATTTGATGGATCAGATTTTACTCTTAGCTTGCTATTGATTTCTTCAGTTAATGACCTCTTGAGATGGCAATGATAATTACATTTTGTATCATGCACAGATTTATGCCTGTATAGCATATTAAAAGTACAAACCATTTCTCAGTTTTCTCTGAATGTAGTAAGACCAAGTGGCAGAAGCACACGTTTCTAAATGCAAGAAGCTAGTTGGGTTGTCTTACTGCCAAACTGAAGTAGTGAATTTATGTTTGCTGCCTCTCTCTCTCAAAAAGGCTGGGTGATGGTAGAGTACAGTCAACAGATCCTTTAATCATTACCCAAGAAGGTATGTTTGTGGAGTGCAGAGTGCTGGCACATCCATGGCACTGTATTTAACTCTAGCCTTGTAATGGCAGCTGCGTTATTCTCCTACGTATTGATACTTCACGTATTTACCGAATAACAGAGAATCTATATTCTTTGTATTCAGTCCAGTTAGCTATTTTTTCTGCAATTTTGAAAGTGTATTTGCCCTTGAAAGCCCTGAACAGTCAAGTTGAAGGTTCACCTACAGAAACCAATGTGTTAGATGGATGTAAGTATGTTCACACTATTTGTTACTTACACAGAAAATGTAGGGTTGGCTTTTTGTGGTTTTTTGTTTTATATTGTTTTGGTGGTGGTTTTAACATATGCCTATTGTGTAGTGTAGGAGGCTAAGCCATTGTGTATGAAGTGTAGAACTCCAGGGATACTCTAGGTATGGAATACCAGTTCTTAAGTTACGCTGAAGGCTGCTGCAGGACAGATGGCTTCCACTGCACACAGCTGAGGAGAAGCTCTTCTAAGAGGGGGAGCATCCTTTATCTTTTTTTTTTTTTTAATCCTTCCACAGTATGTATGTGGTGGGGGAGGACATGACACATGATCTGTATTTTGCAGCTTCACTGTTTATATTTTTCTAAAGAAAAAAATATTAAAATGAGTAAACCAGTCCAAAGTAGATGGTTCTTACCCTAGAAGTATAAACAATTTTAAACATGTATGTACTCAAAAGTCACTTCTACAGTCAATAATAACTTAAGATTATTAATGCTTATTTGTCTTTTTAATGAGTACAAGTACCAATAAGTTCATTTCTAATGTACAAGGGGAAAGTACTAATCCAGAAAACAAGCTGATAGATTTCTCATTTGTCTCTGACAGAGGGTTTGGTCCAAGGATTGAATGAATTTGGCAATAATTTGAACAGGCAGGTTTGATGCACAGAAAATGATGCTCATTGAAGACCCTGTTTATTGCACTTCTATCCAGCAGTATGTGTCTAGGATTTATATAAGCAACACACAAGACAAAAATTTCTAGAAATTACTAATGAAACTGTCTGGTGTTTGGATTTTAAATTTCGTCTCCCAAAAGCAAGTCATGAGCTGAGTCAGGCTCAGGCTTCAAACCTGCTTGGTCCTCCAGACTTTCTAATTCTTTACGCACTTCCTGAATGACACTGCTTTCTTCATAATCAGAAAGAATATCTCTGGGTATCAAGCTGAGAAGTGGCATCTCATCCATGAGTAAGGGATCTTCTTTTTCATTATTCCTGGTTTCATTGGCAGACACTTCACACACAGATGTAGTGCTGTGGCTGTTGGAAAAAAAGAGAAATGAGGCCATGTAGTACATATTTTCATGCTTTTAGCTAGTTCCTTAATAAAATTCTTCATTCCCTTCCCCCATTAATGCATGTTACATGCACAATACTGTCTGACTTCATAAGCATCTCATTTTCACACACTTGATGCTGGTTAGTTAAAGATGAGATTTCCACATACAGAACAAGAACAAGGATCTGAATAGCAAAAAATGTTTGCTACTGGGACACAAGATAGCAGGGGACCTCAGCACAATCTGACCCTTTTACCTACAAGCAATCACAATGACTAGTCCTTTCTGTTCACGTTGTAATATTAAGAAATGCGATTGGCTTAAAAAGAATGCAGAAAAAATGTTTGCCATGAAGCTGTAGAGGTGAGAAAAGTGTGTGTGTTGTATTTGGTTCTAAACAGGATAGTGCAATAGCTGTATCTTCTGCTGTCTTTGTTTTCTGAAGTAGCTTCAGCTGCCTGCACATAAGCATCCCCAATTTGTTGTAGGAGCTTTAAAAGGAAACAAGGATTTACATTTGTTGACAGGAGACGGGGACACAACTTGCCCACGATGCCATCAGTTCTCTCTTTGCACTGCAAGGGACAGAACAGGGCTACAGGTCCCTGTGACAGTGCAAGGTGACACTGGTTGTGCCAGGCACCCCTCAACGACTGCTTAAAGCTGCAGCTTCTTCTACTGGAAACAGAGTAAATGAGCTAAAGAGGTTCATGAAGCATATTTTGTGTACATGTTGAATTTTTGTGTGTTTTGCTTTCTGGGAGTTCCAAGATTTCTGTTTGTGGGCAGACTTATCTCCCTGTTCTCTAGGATATAATCTGATAGTTTCAGTGTTTATCACTCATGAGTGATGTTTAGCTGAGGGCCATTTCAAGTGGAGATGGGCTGTTTCTTTCAATAAAAAACTGTTAACCTGAATCTTCAAATTCACCATGTAACTTCACAGAAGCAGCTTGACCTTACTGTCCATGTGAGCCATGGGCAGGTGGTTTACACAGTATTATTGTATTTGTGACAACCCAAAACATAAATAATTCTTGCAGCTATAGCTGGGCAGTTCAGTGACATTCACACCCTAATTAATTTCAGTGTTTCTATATTCTCAGCTGTTTCCCTTCTTACTAGACATGAGGTTTGCTGACATACCTTCCCTGAAGGTTAATGGTCCTTGCAAATTAACTAAACTTTTGGTGCTGAAAGGCTAGGATCAACTCTCCTTGCTTCCTTAGATCACATTTATGAAACAAAAATGTTATCCAGTTACTTTCCATGCATGAAAAAAATGTAGAAACAGTTGGACACAGGAGAGAAATATTAATCTACATCTCTGTCACAGCTATGCTGTCTTGTTGGAAGTAAATGAAAATGGTGTAAGAACAAACTTGGAAAGTTTATTTCATAGATAACATACAGGCTTTCTAAAAATGCTTCCAATGCAAAACTAACATGATCTCACTTTCTCGCAGTGAAACAGGTAGTTTCAATGCTGCTGCTAAGAGCTGTCAAAACACTTCATAGTACGGAAGAATCTGCGGATTCTGTATCTATTTACACAGAAAGCGACCCCTCAAAAATTTCAAGCGGCTCCGTTGTCCAGTTCTGCTCTTTACCTCTGAGGTTGGCAGCTCAAGCCACTTGCACACGGGCATCGCTCAAGTACTCCATCGGGTTCCAGTTCCCAGGTGATGAGGTTGAGAAGCCTGTTTGAAGTATCGTGGCAGGGTTCACCTTCTTCAGGTAATGGAGTGCACACAGGAAACAGTAGTTCTGCATCCCAGAGTAAATTAATTTTATGAGAATTCGTTAACTCTGTTAAACCGAGATGACCTAATCTTTAAGTCTACATGCAAGATATAAATAGACAGACTTGACCTCTTTTTAAGTTCCCTTACATATTAGGGAGCCACATCTTAATGTTCTTTCCACTAGGTGGGAGTAAGACATTTGAAGTTTATGCTTAATGCGCAGGAACAACTCCTGCTTGCTCCCAAAGAGACTGCTGTCAATACAGTAGTACTGCACAACTCCATCCCTTGGAGATTTGAAACACTCTGCTAAAACCAAGAAAATTAACATTACAGTGAATCTTTTGCAATGGATAGCATTCATGGTTTAAAATCTGAATAGAGAAACATTTATTGTTTAATACTCTTATTATTTCTTTGCAGAGGTTACAAATACCGAGCAATTCTTCAGAGACTAAATAATGGGATTAAAAGAACTACTCACCCAATTACTTTCTTAGAGTAATTCTACAAGAGGCAAAGCTGTCTGATGGTATTTGGGCCTTGGCACGTGTGCTTTAATGTGTATGACTCATCAGTTCCCAGTCCCAATTCTGAAATATATCTTATACAGTGAATGCTCCAGAGTTTACTACAATTTTGTATAAAAAATATACAGGTAAAGACAGTCCAATCTTTATGAGGACAATGTTTTGCAGTACTCTGGAGATGGTGAAAGGCCTTGAGGCAAGTACTACATAGTGTGGTGCCCTGAAAAGCTCATCTAAAACTCAAGAGTATGAACTGCATCTGCATGGTCTGCTTGCTGCTATGAAGGAAAAACCACTTTCAGTAATTTCACTAATTTACTTTGTACGTTTTTAATTCTCTGGTTTTTGCTCTCTTGGCTTAAAACTTGACAGAGCTCTGATACTTTCACATCTCTGAGACTCTCCTTTAGGAATAGTGGGCTTCTGTGCTTCTCATGCTGGTCTCGTGTCTAGTGTGCAGTAGGCTTTTCTTTCACCACTGTGTACCCCCATCAGGCTGTTTCTCACTCCTACTTCCATGGAAGTTTTATCATGAAGTTAACCCTGTAAGCTCCCCTGGCCAAGGGAGAAGAATGAACTCTTGATTCTGTAGGGATCTAATCACTTCACCCAACTGAAGAGCTAAATATTAACATTCCAGTATGATAGAATGAGTAGGATAAAAAGCAAAAACCTCTGTACCTTTCTGAAAAGCACAGCACATTCCAGGGTTGCAGTCATGTTGGTTCTCACAAATGGTGCCGTTCTCTCCTTTTGAAGTGGATTTCCTGCACTCACCCCACACACAGAGCTGGTCTCCACAGCATTCAACATCCCGTGAGCAGCGCTTGCAGATGGACAAAGCACATGACAAAACTGTCACTCTGGGCACTAACTGCATATATCAACAGATGCCTTAGCATACAGTTAGACCCTGCTCCTGAAGGCAACTGCATGTATGTGCAGAGTGAGGGTTTGAAAGCATATGAAAACAGAAACCCTAGAACTTAGTTAAAAGGAAGAGAAGAACCCAAAACACTCTACACATCCATTTTTGAACCTCATGCAGAAAGCTCTGCATCTTGTGTTCTATCCGTTTTGACTTGCTAATGTTAGCAACACTAGCTTATACATCGTGTTTCTAAAGATCACATAAAATCACATCTCATTCAGGACATACCATATGCTGGGTTTTACAGAGCTGGCACTTATATTCAAAGGTGGAGAACTGGCAATATTTCCCTGTTTCACAGTCTTCATCAATGATACACTCCTGAAAAAAAAAAGATAGAAGTAGTGTCATTTGCTACCATGTGACAGAAATCCATACTGTTTCTTGAAATACCAGAAGGTCTTGATTGGTTACGTCTTATTTGGGAACCAAGAAACTGGTTCTTCATGCAGCCAGAGTTCTGTAATAGAACAATGTTATCTCCCTGTTATATGTATATGGCCTCAAAGTGTTAGGTGGCTTCACTTCTTGTATAAATATTAATACTAACAATCAAAAAAATCCAACAAAACCAACCCCCCCCAACACAATTATCTTGTTTATGCAGGCTTTTTGGGTTTGCTTTTTTCTCCTGAGGGATGGGGAAGGCTTGAAGACATTCGTACATTTGTATTAAATCTATTCTACTTGTATTAGAATACAATTGTGATTCATTACTTGCTGGCTTTTTTTCTAGATGAGGGGCAAGGCAGAAGGAAGGAGGCTACACTACAGCAGCTGAAGCAGCCAAGAGCATCTTAATACTCTGTGGGAGACGATTCTGCAGCAGCGTTCTTGATCCCAGACCAGGGAGCTTTATGCTTTCCTCCCTCCTGTTCCCCAGCAACATTAGTGCTGACCTCAGAAATGCCACAGCATGGTGAGCTTCCCTAAGCCAACAAGGACAGCCCTAAGGGAGAAGGGAGAAGTGTTTTCTTTTAACTGTTCCTCTTCTCCCCTTTGCAGAGAAATCCTTCTCAGGCAAACATAAGCATCTTTGCAGTGCCTGAGCATTTTTGTTGGCAACACCTCTAGGCTGGAAAATGCAGTGCTTCTTTCCACAGGACTGGCAACTTAAACATTCCTGGGACTTCATAGTAACAGTGGCATGACCTTAACAGCGGTACTTCTGGGAAGCAGTAGATGTCACACACCGTTTGATTTCCTTTTCTTGGTTGATGGCATGTGAATCATGTACCTAGAGAATCAGAATGGCCTAGGCTGAAAGGGACCTTAGAGATCATCTAATCCACACCCTGTCACCTGCACACTCACAGCTGCAAATATCTGAATACCTACACATGGAAATTTTAAATCCTTATTTTAATTTGAATATAGTAAAATATGCAGGAGCAGATTTTCAGCTGACATCATTCCTCTGGCATCTCCCTGCTGTTGATGGAGTCAATTTACATTTAGTAATGTTCTAGCCTGTCGAAGGATGTGATTTCCACATCACATGCTTTTGAAATACACCTATTAAGCTGTTTCTTCCCCCACCTTTTTTCTCCATGTGAGCACTCAGCAGACAGGTTTGAACTCTAATTTAAGACTGACAAGTACTGAACTGCTGCATATATCCTAGGGAACAAAAAGCCCCACAGTTCCCTAATGCATCAGCTAAGACGACAGGGTAGGCCTCAAGCTCGCAAGGTGCTTGAGCACATGTTTAGATTTCAAACCTAGAATCATTTCATGGGCTTAATAAAAATGTTTATGTGAGAGGGACACCTGAGTTTCCATCTGAATCACAACCTCAGACTAGAGTTTCTTCACCCGGAGGTTCCAGGAGCACTCTGGTAGAGGTGCTGCACAGGGCGAACACACAAACCAGCACGTTCTCTCAGAACACAGCTCTGCAGGTAGGGCAGTGAGGATAACACAGAGACTAAGGGCACGTGTTTGTGTACCCCTGATGTGTCTCGTTGACAGGGAGGGAGTGTTTTCCCATCCAGTGGTTACTCCTTAAAAATCATGTGATTAACCCTGTTCTCTAAAATGTGGTTTCTCCAGGCTAAAAGCAATCTAGCCAACAGAAAAATAAATCATAGCACCATTCTATGTCACTTGTACTCCATCACTGGTTTGTACCATCATAAGGCTGATGCTATCAGTCAAGTTAAAAAGAATCCTGAATTCTCTGAAGAAACCAGATAGACTGCTCTTCAGGAGATATTAATCCCACTTGCTAGAGCAGATCAGCTGTCATCTGCACAACCTTTATTGAAAGATTCCACTAAGCTTTTAATTTTCTATTTCTATATTTTCAGATAATTTCTCCCCAAACTACTGACAGGGTAAGTTTAGATTGGATATTCGGAGGAAGTTCTTTACTGAACGAGTCGTGAGGCACTGGAACAGGCTGCCCAGGGAGGTGGTGGAGTCACCAACCCTGGAGGTGTTTAAAAAAAAAAAAAAAAGTAGATCTAGCACTTGAGGCTATGGTGTAGTGGTTAGGTACGCTGGGATGAAGGTTGGACTAGATGATCTTCAGAGGTCCCTTCCAACCCCGAACATTCTGTGATTCTGTGACTTCTTCCACCCCATCCCAGGTAGATCTTCTGTTTCAGCTGGGCTGAAGCAGGAAATTTAAGTGAAGCTCTTAAATTAGTATAATTGCTGAAAGAGGAAAAGATAACACTGTGAAATGGCTCTGCTGTCTTCTGAAATTCTCCAGATCAAACCTGATGGAAGCTCCTTGCCCTGTGTGAGACAAGGCGTGAAGAGCAGTGCCTTGTTGGGTACCCAGTTGGGTCATCTGAGATCTTTTCAAACAGTTGGATTATGCAGAACACGGAACAGAAGCCAAACACAATCTAGGGCCTGATTCTTTTCAAGCCAAGGACCTGGTACTCAAGTTACATGTTTGCAATTAAGAAGCAGTCATTTCAGATATTTTAAGGCAGTAGTATCACCTGGTCTAGGTTGCTATGAATTACCATAATGTTTTTGCAGCTTCATTAGTCCAGAATACTGTGCGTTCCCCTTGTTTGTTTTTGTGTTTCTGCATAATCAGATGAGTCAAAATCCATATGTTACATAGTATGTTTGAGGCTTTGTGCTTCCAAGTTAACAGCCACTTCTCTTGAGCAGCCGTGCTCTTTCTGGCCAATTTTTTGTCTGTAGCTTTGTCGGCTTCTTTTCCTGAATCCCTTACCTCTGTATAAACCATACCCAGAATAACTGATACTGTTTCATTGCTGTTCCATCTACTTTCAGGCAAACAGCCAGGTCTCAGTGTAGTCAATTTTTCCAATTGTCCCTTTCCACAGAGGGGAAATCTCACCGTAACGGTTCGTGGAATAACTCATGGCTCATGGAATAACTCGTTCTCTAGCTCTAAACCTACCTAACACCAAAGCTGCAATTCTCCAGTCACTGCTTTCCCTTGCATTAGTGAGTCCCTCACCAAAAATACTTCTTTTTCCTCTTACTGGACTGTGTCCCACCAGTTCAGACTTCCAGTTTTATGAGAGTTTTCAGTTGGGGGAGAAAAATCCTGTAGTGGTTTTCCTTCCTGGCATGGAAGAAGCTTGCTTTCATATGCTCTCTGTGAAATTTTGTGCCATCTCCAAACTAACTTCTTCACTTAGGTATTATAATCCATAGTCAACACAGAACTCAGTAATGCTTGTACATGCAATTGGGTAACCATTTATCTTTTTTCTTTCTTTTTTTGCCCCCTTAATAAGGCTACAGGCCTTCTCTAATCAGGCTACCTTGAAACATAACAGTTGCTGGACAAGGAGCAAACCTAAATATCTTCATCAGCTGCAAGGCATTCTGAACAATCCATTTTCTTCTGGAATTCTGCAAAGTAAGTTATTTCTCAGTATATTTTGTCTTTGCAAGAGCAGCAGCGTAAACTGAGGAGAGGGAGTGCTGGCTTCTGACATGCAGCAGAGCGTACAAGCTGAGCAGGTAGCTTAAGGACAGAATTAGCTAAACTTACAATGGTTGTATGTCTCCCTGAAATACATTACGTTGTTACAGCAGTTAATTTAATGTAGCAGCAAAGGAATGTGTCGTTTAAGAAGTGGTAAAGAATAATGCAGCCTGAGAGTCTGTCTATTGATTAATGGGTATACAAGGACCCATAAAGAGCAGAAGGCAGGATGGAGAAGAGCATGCTATATACCTGTAAGTACATACTCAGCATCCTGTGGGCTCATATCATAATATATATAATATCCTGAAACACCTGAAAGCAATTTAGGGGTTAGGATCTCTTCCAAAACCAACAGGAAAAAAAAAAACCAAACCCAAAACCTAACCATAACAAAACACTGAAACTCCTGGAAAAGTTACCCTGTATTTTAAGTCCCTAAAACAACTGCTGCTGAAAGAAACTTAAATGCATGGGGGGACCTCTTGTTGTCTGCTGGGACAGACAAAAAAGCTTCTCTAAACAGAAACCTCCTTTAGGTGTTGCTTAAAAGCTCTTGATACAAAGAAATTTCCTTTTTAAAACCATGTAACCCAAGTAGAACTCAATGTTAACACCCATAAGGAGTAGCTACAGGTCCTTCCCAAAGAGCTCCAGAGCTCACCCAAGAGTGGCTGTGAGACAATGAGAATTTCAGCCATAGCTGCAGTGCTCTAGCAAACCCACTTGTTCCCACTGGAACTGACATATCTTAGTAGTTAGCACTTCTAAGAGTTAATATTTACTTCTGTGTTTACATATCCCCTTCTAGGTTTTGTTTTAATTTCTACAGTCATTTCAAATAGGTCTGGTCTCCATTAGTGCAGCAGATGGCAAAAACTGCTGAGTAGTAAGGAAAAAAGCATAAAAACTGTTTTATATCCTACATGTATTACATGTGTTAGAAAAATGGCAGAATTACATAGAATGGAATATCGTTTTACGAAAACGACTACCCTAGTTTGAATTGCAGTAGTGATCCAACTCCTAATCTCTTAGTTGTCTAGACAGGATGCATAATGGGTTTGTCTTTAATGAGACATGAATTAATTTGCCTTGAAATACCTCAAAAATTCTGTAATACTTTCCAGCAGACCAAACCTTTTACTGCTGCCCTGCCAAGTCCACAGCACTCATACAAATAAGAACTACTGTTAAAAAAAGACATACTAAAGAGAGCAGACATGCGAGTTGTAAACTATGGTATTAGTCACATCCCAGTGCTATGTGGGAAAGTCAGCTCTTTGTGTGGCTGATCAACAGGAATGTGACTTCTGAGCTCAAAACTAGTAAATAATAAAATACAAGTGACTTCCTCGGTTTTGTCTTGAACTTCTCCATAGAAATAGTCTCAACC